CAGCTGAAGATGTGGAGTTTCAGAGCTTGCAGAGCTGGTGTGGAAGGAGAATTTAGCCTCACGTTTACAAAGCACACTCTCAGTTGCCAGAGAAATCCGAACTGTCGCAATTTCCCTTCCATCCAGGCCACGCAGGATGGCCTGGGGACAGGCTCACTCTAAATGGGTAACTTTGGGGACCCTGGTGAAGCACAGGCTGTAGATGGATTGCTGTATCCACGCCTGACTAAGGCAAACAACCTCCATCAGCTCCGGTGGTTACATCTTTGTTGGAACCCTGCAGAAATAGGTTACGGCCTCCGCTGTGGGGTTTGGCTTCACTGTTCAGTTGCCTCCTTCAGTTGCCTCCCTCTTCAAGCACAGGAGGTGCTTGAAGCTGCATGAAATGGCCTTTGGATGAGCTCAGGCCTGGCCAAGAAACAGTTTGGCTTGAGGGATTCATTGCAGCTGCAGCTCCAAATCCAGTCTGGGGTGGGTCCCAATGATGTGGAAAGCGAAGCCAGCTCTCACTTTAGCAGGCAGAGTGCTCTCTACCACCATCCATCCTCCTCTGGAAGAAGGAGGAGAAACTGCTTTGGGTGTCTGCAGTCCTCCAGAGCCAGGTGGGATGTGCGTCACTGCTGGGCATGGACCAAAAAGACTAGCAATGTCACCAAAAACCCCAGCTTGGATTTCTCCCTTTCCTTGGTCTGGAGATCCAGAGCTGTGTTTGTGAGAAGAAAGCCAGCTGCATCTCCATCCTTGGTGGGAGAAGCAGGCAGGGAAGAGCTTGGGTGTGCCATTTGTGCTTCAGATGTGCTGTGGCAACAGTATGAATAATGCATAGAAACTCAATTCTTTTCTCTCTGGCTGAGGGCAAGGTGTCCCAGCTGATAAGAACTGGGAGCCCACCCTTGTTAAAGCCAGCATTAGACTCAGACCTTCACGAGATCTACTGCCTCAAGCAATTCCATTGTTCAAAGCACATTCGGTTAATTAGTACATTAACTAATTAACCTTCTCAGCATCCCAGGTAGGGAGTATCTCTCTCCCAAAGGAGGAAACAGAGGCAAAGTGACTCACTAAGACTAGATGCAGGAACTCAGCAATTCAGCTGTGCTAAGTCTGGGGTTTTTTTCCTTTCCCAAATGATTTCGTTGTTGCTGCAATGGCTTTATGTACATAGTTCCTGGAGATAGAAATGGAGGAGTCCTAAAGACTCCAAGAGAGTCCTCAGGCCTGGTAAGGAAAGATACTACTGGACAAGCCTGGAGAAGAAAAGAATCCACCCAAATACCCAGAGGAGGCAATTTGATTCACCCACTTCCTTGTACCAACTAAGGAAAAAAAAGCTAATGCAATTTCTTCCCCTTCACAAGGAAAGTTTTTCTCATCAACAAATGAATAAAATCCTTTTCCTTCTTACTCACATTTTCATCCACTCTGAATTTCATGAGCCAGGAGCAAAATGGCCAGTGTGGGGAGTTGAGAGCACGTGAGAGATGACCGCGGGGCTGTGTCTGTATGGGCTCGCTGGGATGCAAATAGACCAGAAGGATAAGACCTGAAGAGACTCCAGCAAACAGCCAGAGGGGAAGCTTTGATGCTGAGGAAGTCCACAGACTCAAACACATGATGGTGAGCAGCTGATTTCCACTGCCTTTACAATGTGGTAGGAAAAAAAAAAAAAATAGAGCTAAAGCACAAGGATAGAGTTCTTTGGCTTGCACAACCCATGACGGCATCACAGACCCACAGAGGGGAAGCTTTGATGCTGAGGAAGTCCACAGACTCAAACACATGATGGTAAGCAGCTGATTTCCACTGCTTTTACAACGTGGTAGGAAAAAAAAAAAAAATAGAGCTAAAGCACAAGGATAGAGTTCTTTGGCTTGCACAACCCATGATGGCATCACAGACCCTTTCTCACAAGCCCTGATCCCAAACAGAAACGGGAGTCTTGTTCTCCCCACCCAGCCCTGATCCGAAGTCAGTCTCTGCTCTGCCTCCTATCAGATCACAATTGTTGGCAGCCAGTATGTGTGGAAGAATGAGCACCAGCTCCTGCATTCAGTGGTTATTTCCCTGAGAAAGAGAGTCCCCTGGGGCTTGAGTATGGGCCTATGTGTCTTACCAGTCCTTTGCTGCTAGTTTTTGACTGGCTTTTGCCCAGGCAGCAAGCCCTCCACAACACTGGAATCTTGACCAGCAACGTCCACAGTGTGCCTTGAACGAGAGCTCTGGTGAGGCCACAGCAGCAGCACCTGGAAGCTGAAAGCACCAAGAGCAAGTGGCTTGTCCTGTAGAAGGGACTCCATAACCACGTCTGAATCTACCACCAGTTTGCTCAACCCACAGCGGCCCAGATTGGAGGCTACAAAAATATCCCCCTGCTCAGCGCCTCCTCCCTTGTCCTTTGTAAAGCTCCAGCATTTCAATCGTATTCACACCTCCCTCTCCTCACACAAACCACCTCAGCTCTCTCAGTAACCCATGTCCACAAAAATTCATGATCTCCTTCCCTTGCTCACGCCTTCCTCTCCATGATAATAGCCCTTCCGAGCGCTCACACTCTCTTATTTACTCTTACTCTCATCTTTCACCCTGTGCACCCCTGCATTTGACTAATATATATGAAATAAGCAACTATTGCTGAAGGACTATAGGTGATTTTGTGGAGGCTATTGATATCTTCAGCAATCCCAGCCCCACGTGTGTTCCTAATCCCTTATTGCTCCATCTCAGGACCCACCAGGAAGGTGCTGCCCAGCTGATCCTAGGGCTCTGTTACTGGGAAAGGCAAAACACCCTGTGTTGCATCTTGCCCTGCCCTGGTCATACTAAGTTTTCACTTAGAATAAGGATAAAAATAAAGTTCCTCAGTTTGTCAGGGTTTTTCTCAAAAAGGGTATTGGTGTCAGAGCAGCCAAAACTGTTTCTCATTCCCAGCTTCAAGCTGACATGCTGCACATGGCCATTGATCTATTGCTACAGGCACCTTTGGTCTTTGTTCTGGGAGCTGCCTTGATGTTTCTCCTGGAAGAGCATTGCACAAGAAATGCAATATTCTTTCAGTACAAAGGCTGGGCTTTTCAAGTGAGCTTTGCCTTCCCAAATCCCATTAAAATAAACTGGACTTGGATTTCTCATATACCTTCAAATTTCCCAAATTACAAGGTTAATATAAAGCACACAAACCTACCTCTGAGGTTGCACAGCTCCCCACCAAGCCCACAGAAGTTAGGGCTGGCAGGCACTTGATAAAGGTGATGCTTATTTTCAGGGACTAATCAATCACAGCAAATTGCTAAGCAATACATCCATAACAATTCTCACCTGGAGATCTTAGGTTACTTTGCAGAAAGTTGGTGAGGATCAGGTAGTGAGGAATAGGGGTTATTAAAAAAAAAAAACAACATAAGATTTTACGTTTCTTCACGGAATAATTTAATATGTTACCATTATGTTTCTGCTCTGAATTACTTTGCAGGGAATTTGCCCTCGCCACTGCCTAGATAAAGCTTGGCAGGTCCAGCCTCCAGCACTGAAATTTATCCCACATGAATATGTCACAAAGTGCTTTGTCCAATTAACAACCTTCCTTATAGGATTTTCCTACAAGAGCTGTAACGGCTTCAAAACTGTTCTAGGTCTTGGCATTTCCAGTTCCCTGCGTCCTTAGGGGATAGGGCTTGTAACTGGGAGCTCTAAATCTTGGGAAAGTCCTGATTTTCACTGCTTGTCTCGCCTACAGAAGCAGAAAGCCCAGGAGGTGTTTGCTTTGTGTGCTCCTTAGGGTCTTCCCATGCTGGATACTGTCACACAAGGTTGTAAGGTGCTTGCCCTGCTCTAAAAATATCTTGTCTGGTTTCGGTCAGGACTTGAAGGGACTTCACTTCTGTGGTGGAGCTTCTGTGGTGACTTCATCTCAGCAGCTTGTTGGCTTCTTCAGTGAGGCTGCTCACTAGGAGCTCAGCTCTGCACCCTAGGGAGAAGAGGGTGGAGGGGGTTTCACCCCATGCTTCTTTGGTCCCTCAAGTCATAGCCGTGCTGTCCGGCTGGGCAGTTGTGTTGGTCCATGGAAGGGCAGAAAGATGGATAAAAGTCATGGAGCTTGTGAGGTGCTGGAGGGAGACAGGTAGTCTCTGGGCCAGCAGGGCTGAGTGCTCAGTGTGGCTTAGTGCCGTCCTCGGCATGCTCGCAGGGATGGGGACAGACCTGTCCCCACGTTATGGATGGTAGCAGGCAGCCACCGGCGCTATCCTGGGTGTGCTTGAGAGGGGGGAGGCATCATGGACCCCACAGGGGCCTCAGCCATGCTGCCTGGTCTCTTGAGGAGCAAAGAAACCTCAGCTCACTCCTCACCGCAGATACCGTTAGGATCCTGGTTGTGGAGGCCATGCTGCCTCCGAGCCGCCGTCCCCAAGGCCTGCTCTGGGTTCCTCTCCCCCTCCCCGCGGGTGTTATTTACGCCGTTTCCTGCCCAGGGAAGTTCAGGAGTTTGACGTTCCCGGGCTGGTTTCCGCCATCGGGTTTCCCACCGGGAGCTCCAGCAGAGCCCAGCGGTACCGGCGGTGGCCGGGCAGGAGCCGGCCCGTGCCAGGGGGGAGGACGGAGGTGCCAGCCGGTCCCAGGGAAGGAAGCATAACCCCCTTCATGCTGGGCACCTCAGGCTCCCAGGCTCAACCATCCTGGAAAGGCTGGAAAAGCCAACCCCCATGTCCATCCCTCCGCATGGGTCCCGTGGTGGGGCAGGACCCGCTCGGTCCCGGCGGGAGGAAGGGAGGACGTGGCCGGGCATCACCGTGGAGCTTTTTTGGGTTCCTGCCGAATCGACGCCCTCCCCTCTCCCTCCCTCTCCCCCCCTTCATCCTTCCCGCCCGGCCTGCGCCTCCCCTCCCTTCCCTTCCCTTCTCCCTCCCATCCCGCAGCAAACAAAATGGCTGCTGCATGGCCATTTTGTTTTCCGTCTGGAAGGGGGAAGAAGCCAGGACGCTGGGACTTGGCTCTTTTTTGGAGGCTGCGGCCATGTTCGAGCCCAACTCTCCCGTCTCGACGTGGCACCGGCTGTAGTGAGAGAGAGAGAGAGAAAAAAAAAAAGAAAAAAAGAAAAAAAAAAAAAAGGACCTTTTGGAACGAGACCAAAGTCAGAGGCAGAGAGTGGGTAGTTTTGGCGTATGTTGAAGCCCTGAAAATGCCTGGAATTGCCAAACTGAGCTTTTGTATTAGCAGCGTAAGGCTACTCGGTGCATGCAGAGCCGCGGGGCTGCAGGGTATAGCCGGACGGAAAGGTTTGTTCGCTATATTCAATAAAACAGCCCTCCTTTCTTCTGTATTTATAAAGTACCAGAGAGCACTGTTGTCTAATTTGTTTTTGGACAGGCGGATGGTTTTACACATCGGCTTGGTATGATTAGAGCCGGTCATTGCCGGACGGTAGCATTTTAACCTGTTGTGTGTCCTCTTGTTTTTTGGTGAATATAAAATGCGACCTTGCCACTGATCTGGCAGTGCCTGGATTTAGCCGATGCGATCCGGAGGATTTATTTTAGGGATTTTTTTCTTTTTTTTTTTGGTTTGTTTTGTTTATTGCCTTCTTGCCTTGAAAGTTTTCACCTCGGGAGTACAAAAACTTCATTTAAATATTAAAAGAAATAGCTGTTCTTGGCTTCTTTCGCCCTTGCTTTTCCTAGGAGGACTGAACTGTGCTGTGGTAACGAGTCGTTTGTTGCACCGGGGTGTGTATCCCGCACACGTTAAGGTGTGATACACAACCCAGACGCCATCAACAGTAACACGCCTTGAAAGTTTAAGGGAACTTGGTGGCGTTACCATACAATTTTGCGCAGAAGCAGGGCAAAAATACCAGAACATGCGCCAAATAAAAGCCTTTTTTTTTTTTCCCCCCCTCTTTTTTTTTTTTTAAAGTGATTCTGCATTTCCTTCGGTAGCCTGGATGTCTTGGAGTTAGTAGTCACGTCTCTTCGTTCACGGCCGATGGGAGGAACAGATCTTTGTCCAGTGGCACGATGTGGGGGGTGATCGGGCTCTGGTAAGGCATCGGTGTTGGGGTGATCATCCCACCTTTCCTTGAGGGGCTGCCCGGACATCTGGAAAGACGCAGAGACTTTCCGAGAGGAGTCGGGAAGGAGAGCAGAAAGAGGGGAAATCGCTTTTCTTGCACAGAAAGGTATTTGCCTCCATGTCTGCTCGGCTTGCTTACAGACAGGCGATGTGGAGAATCGCACGGGTGACGGTGGTCCCGGTGCCGGGGCGGCATGGGTGGGCGCCGGGAGGGCGGTTCGCGTCATAAATTAAATGTTTTTTGTCCAAATCTACGTTCGGGCTGGACTTTACCTGCGCACCTTTGGTGAGCAGTTTTTGGACTGAGCATCGAGAAGGAAATCAGTATTAATGGAAGAGTTTTATAGAGTATGCCAGGGAAGGATTGTCTTTCTTTAGATTTTTGAGTTAACCTATAGAATTGAGTATGGAGCAGGTAAAAATAAGCCAACAAGATGTCTTTTCTCTTATATCTCTTGATTTTTAATATTTTGGAGAAATTACTCTATGAAATATCAGTAACGCCTGTTTCAGTTTAATGACAAATATTCTGGGATTTTTTTTTCCTTCAGAAGAGTGTAAATTATATGCTAATTTACAAGGAAAATACACTAACGTTTAGAAAAACCGTTACGTTTATGGCCACCTTTAATAACGGATTTTTGAAGGGTTAATAAAAGATAAGTTGTATAACAAGCAGGTTACAGATGCCTGTATTATAAATAACAATACGAGATTCATTAATGATGAGCCAGATGTTTATAACCATCTGAAAGGACTCGAGACAGCCCCTAACAGATGAGTAGCTATTTACTAAGATACCTAGTAATTGTTTAATAATAAACAAATGCTACGGCAATGTTGATATGAAAAACTACCTACGTCATTAAAAGAGCATGGAGGAAAAGCATTGCTGAGACACCGGGGCTGTTGCAGGAATTAACTTTAAATATTTTTACTCGCATTTCCCTTTGCCTATTTGCAGTACCTTTGATTAACTCTTTCGAAGGGTGATATTTTAATATCGACTCCAGGGTGGGGTGTCGGGGAAGATGGCTGGCCTTGCTTTTCTGAGAGGTTCACCCGGCCTGTGAGAAGTTAAAAGCAACTTGTCCTTGTGGCTAGTTTGGCAAATGTCAATTTTTTGCTTTCCAATGGCACGGGGTGTGTTCAAGATGTTTTTTTGGGCCATTTACTGCTTTTTCTGCGAGCGGGTTCCTCGCTGCTGGCCAGCGGAGTCGCGCGGCTCTGAGCGGCACTGTATGTGGATGCACATCTCGGCAACGTTGGGGAGCTACTGAAAACCTTCCCCACCTCTTTTTATTTCTGCGTGTTTTGACTTGGATTTTTTATTTTTGGGGGGTCTGTTTGCTTATTATTTGCCACTCCAGCAACGCGGCAGGGCAAGGGATGTGAAGTCACGACCGGTTTCCCTACGGGCAAAGCTAAGGAAACAAAATGGCCGACGGTCAGCCATTTTGTGCCAAGGCAGCCGGCTGGCTGCTGGCAGGCTTCGCCTTGGCCAGGGCCGCTTCTGCCCCATTCCAGCCCATCCTCGGGGAGGCTGAAAAGCCTCTCAGGGACGCAGGGCCCTGATTTCCCACTGAGAAGCCCTGCCTGTCCCCAGCACGTTTTGGCACCGACGCGCGGGACCGCGGCTACACAAAGACTGAAAAGCAGTGTCTGCTTTTAAAGGAGCGACTTTGTTGTTTTATGGTTTCCTCCTCCCTCCTCCCTCCTCCCCCCCCTCCATTTCATTCAGTGCTCCTTAATAAACCAGATCAGCTCCTCAAAGCTTCAGAGCCTTTCCAGCTACTCTCCGAGGTGGGCTCTGTGCCTCCCTGTTTTAAAGGCAGAGACTTGGCCGTGCTCGGGCATCTTTGGTCTGCAGATATGTTGAAATTTGGAAGGGACATCATCTTGGGGTCATCATGAGCCACCCTGAGCCCTGCGAACCGAAGAACAGTTGTAGGTCACCTCTCCCTCCCCAAAACGAGCTGAAAGCTGGACTGGACATGCCATTTTTTTGCCAACCTGGAGGCTCTTGCTGTGAAGGAACATATTAATCCTTTATCTGCCAATTTTCCTCACCCCTCCAAGCACCTCGAGACAGCAGGACTGTGTGGTGCCACATGCTGAGCACAGGGACCTTCCTGCAGTCTCTCACAGAGACTGACCTGGCTTCTTCACAAAAATCAAATTTGGCTAATTTTGAAGGAGTCATAGGAATCTGGAAGGGGAAAATTGCGGTGCCACTATCTTAAGGGCTGCATGGAAAATGGTGTTTTTCAAGGAGGTCCAATTCTTAGCAGCCAAGTATCCAAAAATCTTCCAGAAGTGGACTTAAATAACTAAAAAGGCAGTGAGTGGTTCTGGGGTAGAGGCTTCTGACTCCTGCAGACCCTGTTGGGTATTTTATCCAGAATTTTGCATGGCTACATCACATTCAGGCACTTGTAAATCTCGTGCTTCAGCAGGGGTGTGCTCGAAGGGAAGGCTTGGTGTCTGGAGAGCAGGGCAGAGCTGGAAGGCAGCTTGCTTCGGTGATTGCCGTGGGATTTTTGCTGAGAATCTCAGTAGATATGGCGTTTGCACCAATCTTGTGGCTGCGTGGATATATGACTAATTCATAACGGCTCTTTGTGAAACCCCAGGGGGGGTTTTACCATTGAGCTGTTATCCAGGATGCGTGTGATCTTCTCTCTCCCAGGATCTGTGAGTCTCCTGCAGATATTAAAAGGGAACATCCCTCTTTCCCTCTCTGTCAAAGACGGAGAGGTGGATATTGACCTGTCCCAACCCGGCTGGGCTGGCCCAGACAAGTGCCACCAGAGGCTGGAGCAGGACTTCCTAAGGCTGGTTCCATGGATTTGCTGGGCAATCTTTGGCAAATGTGGTCACCTCTCTGCTCCTCCTTCTTTCCCTATCTTTTGTCTTGGTGGTGTAGACTACAAGCCATCCAGGAGAGGGGCTTGCTGTTGTTGGAATTTGTATAGTATTGTTTGTGGTATCGTATAGCACAAACGAGCGTGACAGGGATACTAAGGATGAAATGGTCATAGTGATCCTTACCAGGCATCGTATCTCTAAATCCTCCTGTTTTGACTCCTTTCTTCACAGATCCTGGCAAGATCAGGACTGCAGAGTCAGCAGCTGGGTATTCCCGAAACCTATGCTCATTAAGACAATTATAATAATTAAATCTCCTGTTTTCAGGATTACTTATAGAAGTCAGAAGGATTTTTTTTTCTGTATATAATTAGATCTATGTGAACTAGAAGTTGTTTAATGTAATTTCCCACCCACAGCTTGAGACTGACCCGAACACCTCTTCTCTGCAGTGATTTCAAGAGTGGCCTTTTAAATGCCTGCTCTATACATCTTGCTTATGTGCTTAAAATGACACCAGATTGGGAATAAGGAGAAATTGTCCCTCCAGGTTAATTGCAAAGAATCTCTTTGGAGAAGATGCGCATCCTCTGCCCTATGTATCACCTGATGTGGTCACTGGGGCCACCCACCTCTGCTCCTCTACCATTGCAGTGACCACTGGCCTTCTTGCCACCCCAATCCCTTCTGGTTGATGCCTGTGGCACCAGCTTGATTTTTGGGAAGCTGAAACACTTTAGTTTATAACCACTACTTCTGTCCCTGAGGAGGCAGAGTGGCCTGTGTCAGACGGGATGGACCTTTGAGCCCAACTGTAACCTCAGTGAAGCTCTGGCTGGTGTTGCATGTGTTAAGGAGGGATGCACAACCTCTGGGCACCACTTTTTATGCCAATAAACCAGGAAAAATAACATTTCCCATCAGAAGGCTGTTTGGAATGCAAGGCACTTGGCAGCATGGATGGGCTGTGTTCTTAAATGCTATAGTAATCAGTCCTGCAACATTGATTTTTTGACGTTTTTTATACTCCATCACACCGGGAGAGGCCTGGGCCAGATGGCCGGGCACAGTAGGTCATCACTTGTGAAGGCTGAGTTTGTCAAAGGAAATTAAGAGAATTACCTGGAGCGTGCTGAATGCCAGTGAGAAGGACTTCTGGAGAGCTCTGCAAAGGAACAGGGGAACATTCCACACCTTGCTGCAAAGATATCCTTGTACCCCAGCCCACCCTGAAGTCCCACCTCAAGGGTCCCAGCTACTACAGTTCACCAAATCGTGGGGATCTCACTTATATGTCTGGAGAAGAGAAGGCTGAGGGGGGGATCTGATCAATGCCTATAAATACTTAAAGGGTGGGTGTCAGGAGGATGGGGCCAGTTTTTTTTCAGCGATGCCCAGTGACAGGACAAGAGGAAATGGACACAAACTTGAACATAAGAAGTTCGATCTAAACATGAGGAGGAACTTCTTCACTTTGAGGGTAGCAGAGCCCTGGAAGAGGCTGCCCAGGGAGGTGGTGGAATCTCCTTCTTTGGAGACATTCCAAACCCACCTAGACACGTTCCTGTGCAACCTGCTCTGGGTGGCCCTGCTCTGACAAAGAGGGGGTTGGACTGAATGGTCTCCAGAGGTCCCTTCCAACCCCTGTATCATTCCGCGATTTGTGCTGCTGCCTGTTGGCTGTGGAAGCACAAAGCACTGGGCAGCCTTTGTCCCTTTGGGGACTTGTGCCTCTCCCTCAAAAACGCTCCGCAGATGTTTGGGAGGGACCTGGAGACCTTCCTGCCCAGCTCTGGTGGCAAGTCCTCCCTCAGCTCTCTGCTGAGCCACACATGCTGCCTGCTCAACGTGATACTGGGGGCTCCCTGTTGGCTATGGCTTTTTTTTAACCTTCCAGGGGGATTCTTTCTCACTGCACAAGAACCTCACGCGTCTCTTTTAAACTACCAACTTAATACCTCGTGTCTGTATTTGGGTGTAGAGAGAATGACAGAGTCTCAGAGGGTGAGCCAAGGGCCCGGGGGGAAGCCAGCCTGTCTCAGATCCATGCTAATATTGCCTGGCTGAGCTGTAGCATTAAAGGGACACCGAGCCTGCATGTTGCACTCATTTGTTTAGGAAATGAGATCTGCCTTGATGTACTCGATACGATTACATTTGCAGCCTAAAAGCTTCCTTGTACTCAGTTATTTCTAATCTGCTCAATTCCCTGGAGTGCCCGGCAGCTAAATTGATGGATTCTCTTATCTGGTGTGGCAGGTTTGTTCTAGATAGGCTGTGTGTTCGAGGTGAGGTCAGCCTGGCTGCGTCCGACTGCAGCCTCGGGAGGGACGTGCTCTCTGCACGCACGGCCCCGGGTTCAAAGGGGAGGGCTGCCGCCACCGTAAGCCCTCGGGTGCATAAAGTTTGCAGCCAGTGCCATTGCCAAGGATAAAGTATAGCCCAAGCGGACCATAGGAGGTTTAAAGAAGGAAAGGAGGTTGGGTATGAGACTCCTTTTTCCCTAACATCATGAATTCTGATGATTTTTCCTGCCTTTCTCTTCACAGGAGCCGCGGAGCAGCCGATGCCGGGACGATGATCATCTCATTGCCGCAGACTGCCATGGTCCCAAGCTGTCCTTGAGGCTGAGGTAGTAGATTGAATAGTTGTGGAGCCCGATCCTCCCTTTGAGCTAACTATACAATCTACTGTCTTTCCTAAGGAGACAGTCAGGTCTTCGGTTCTTCTTCTGGTCATCTATTCCCACCCCGAGCACGGAGGCAGCTGCTGCAGGTCTAACACAAAGCCAGCAACTCACAGGTGAATCGGGCCAGAGCTCAGTCCTGCTCTGTGGAGGTGAGGTAGTAGGTTGTATAGTTTGGTGGGAGGGATTTTATCCCATTTCAGGTGATAACTATACAGTCTATTGCCTTCCTTAAAGAGCAGCAAAGCCACCAGAGGACTGGCTCAGCCACAGAGCTCCTGAGGCATCGTTTCTTTCTTTTGAGGATCCCAAAACACAGCGTGGTGTTTGTTGAATAACTCAGTGGGTCTTCTCTTGCAGTATCCAGGATTGCATTCCTCCAGGGACTGCTCTGTGCATGGAGCCACCTGCTCACAGAAGACCTACCCTCTCTGTTTAATGGGTGCAAGAGAAACCATGAAATGAGTTGGTGCTTCACTTCCCAGGGCTCAGTTCTGTGCTTTTTTGGCAGGAGATGGGCTCAAGTGTGCTGTTCTTTTCTGGTCTGTCCTCAAGTCGGGAGGGGAGCAGATACTTTGGTCCAAAGAGGATAGATCTGAGCTTGTGATTTAAGCTTTTTTTGCACCTAATTCCGAAGCTTGGGTTAAGAACTAGATCCAGGAGCAAGGTCAGCCTGTGGACTCGAAGCCCTGGGAGCTGCTCAGATTTGGCTGCTTGGCCCCTGCTCAGGAAGTACATTCTGTTTTGGCCAAGGCCCCAGCTCTCCCGTGGTATAGAGTCAGAGGGCGGGTCTGGTTTGATAATCCATATCAACCTTACTCCCTCATATGCAAACCCCGGCGAGGAGATTAGGGTTCCTGTGTATTTACATAGAATAAGCCAACGATTCCAATTAACACCCTGTCCTGGAGGGGAGACAGGCCAGGGAGAGACATGAGCCAAAGGGAGCGAGTCCTAGTCCTTTTGGGTTCTCCCAGGCAGGTAGCACTGCCCTCTGACAGGAGGTGTCGGAGAAGACAGCAACCTTCAGAGCTCTGGCACTGGTCACGGGATGGGGAATTGCTATTTCTTCTCTTTCTTAGGAGCAGATGGGCCTGTCCCTCTGCCCCGTTCCGCAGTAAGTAGGCTCAGGACCACACGATGAGGGGCTGGATGGGTTCTTCATGACTGAAGGACATCTCGGGCCATTATCACCCCCATCTCCCTGTCAGGGAGACACAGGAGATCCGGGATGTTGGGCAGGGGCAAGCAGAGCACATCTTCTCAGATGAAATGGGAGGAAGAGAGCTGTCAAAAGGAATCTGAGCCCTCAAATTCCACCACTCACAGGGAGACCCAGAGACCTGGCTGGCGTGGCCATGGGGCTCCCCAAAAATGAAGCAGCATGGTTAAGGGCTCCTCTGCTTCTTGGGATGGGGCGTAGCTCCAGCGAGAAACAGGGATGTGATTTCCTCAGGCTGGGCCACAACTGGTGGGTGGGGATGCCGCAGCGTCGAGCAGCAAAGGAATGCAATCCCATCGCCATAAATCTGGCTCTTCAGCCATCCCGGCGACTCGCTGTGCAAAACTACAGCCTGGTCCTTCTCAGATGCGTTATTATCCTCTCGCTGCTCGCTGAGGGGCAGGACTCCTGCCCACAAATTGCTTGGAAGGTACCAAAATAGCACCCCAAGCATGGGAACGGAGCACCACAGCCACTTTGTATTTAAGAGGTATCCCCTGGAAAAGAACTAATCCCGTGTGTCCCAGAGGAATTTGGTTCAGTCCCTCTCCATTGCACGGATGTTAATGCAGAGAAACTCAAGCAGTGAAACCGCGTGAGCTGGAAGCCATGAATAAAATATTACTGGAGATATTCTCTTGTGAAAATAAACTTGGTTTGACTTTTTAAAGCAAAACAAAACAAAACACCAATGTCTTTTTACTGCCTTGAAGTGAGCTTGGCTGGTGAATTGGGACCTCTGGAGAGGTGGCCAGCGTTCCTGACGGTGAGTCACTGACCAAGTTCTCCGTTTGACCAAAATCCTGAGTGTGGAAGGGGAAGCCACAGCCAGGACACAGCGAGGATGTGGGGCAGATGGGGGTGGGAGCAGAGACCATCCATTTGGGCTGTGGGTAGGTGCTCTCCTGGGCCAACCCTGGTCCTGTCCCGAAGCCCTGAGCCTCTTCCTCACCCTCGGTCAGCTCAAGGGCTGCAGGTTGGGCTTGGAGAGCCCTCACTATAAACTTATTTATAGCTCTGATACCAGCAATGGGAGAACATTGGGACTTCCAGGCTCCACTAACCCATCACCTCGTCTCCAATAAATCACAACTAGGGCTCAGAAACCTGCCAAGGCAACGTTTACTTTCTCTATCGCTTCCTGGTATTTGGGAAAGGGCAGCCTCTGCCCAGGAGGAGGGTTGGCAGCTTGTTTGAGCTTGTAACTACGGATACTGGGGACACCTGGCTAACTCCAGGACACCCAGGGACGTCTCAGCACCCAGGCAAAAAGCCAGCCAGGAGACAAGAAGGAGAAAGGTGGGACCTCTGGGGACACTGGGGGATGGAGAGCACTTTCAGGCCAGATACCCAGAGGGAACACTGGGCAGCTGGTTGGACCTACCCATGGCACGTCCCCAGTTACAGGTCCCCCCAGATGGAGCACTTACGTGCCCCAACCCTTCCCACTCACCGTGTCCAGGGGAGCTTCAGGAGCACGTTGCTCAGCAGCTTCTCAACCTGCAGCAGGGACATCCCTCTCCCTGCTGGGAAACGGGGCCTGAGGTTTGGGGAGGAACCAGGCAGGTGGGGCTAATGCAGCAGCCAAGCCTTAGAAACACCACAAACCCCATGATTTTAGCTCAACTGACCACAGCTGATGGTTTTAAGTGCCTCCTCCCACCACACTGTGGGGCTGCCAGGGCCCAGAAGCATCTTTGCCAGGGTCTTGGCTCCCTTCCCCCCCTCAAGAAGCTGCCTGTCATGTCACCCCGATGCCAGAGCCTCCATCCCTCATGCCAACCCCAGAAATGGAGTGGAAATGCTGCAAAATTATCCCTTGAGTGATTTGTGTCCTCTCTGTGTGCCATATCCTATCCCTGCCATGCGGTCTCCTTCCCTAAATCCCTCTAATTTAGGATTAAATCAACCCAACCCGAATGCCCGTGGTGGCAGGGCTCAGCCCCTGGTCCTGGGGTGGGGGGGGGAAGGGGATTTACTCTCTGGTTTTAAGTTTTCTGTTACAAGGAACTCTCTAAATAGGTCCCTGCACAACCACGTGTCTCCAGAAGTCAAACCCTTACAGAAAACAAAACTCAACAGTTTTTAAGAAGGGGCACTAGCCCCCAAATCCTGATAAAAATATTTAAATCCTAGAATTATGTTGATGGGCTTCTGCTATTAACGCTGTTAATCAGCAGCACCACTGCTCCCACCCCCATCACGGCTCCCAGCAGGGGGGGGGGGATCCAGTGTTGCAAAAAATCAGGTGTTGACCAAATGCCCTGGTTTTTTTGCTGGGAGGAGAAATGCTTTTCTGCTCCTTTTATTGCTTACAGGGAATTTAATGCCACAGTCCCCTTCACCCTGACGCAAAACCAGTCAGGGTCATGAAGTGCCCCCCTTACAACAGCCGCTCCCTGTAGAAATACAGCATAGAAATAGATGTTTTTCTATTCTTCCTAACCCCAAACTGGCTTTTTTTTCCCCCAAAAGCAGCTCGGCAGGAGGATCTCAGCCCGTAACAAGAGCCTAAAGCAGCCACGGCACCTGGGCAGGAGGGTTATTTTTAATCTGATCCTTAACTACATCCGAGGGTTGTGATTAAATAAAGCCCTGGCCTCTCGGCAGGGTTCCGCGTAGCGAGTTGGGGGCTGCCCAGTTCTCTGCGGTGTCTCTCCCACCGCCATCTGCCGGTCACCCTCCAGCAGGGACGGCCGTGACCGTGACCTGAAACAACCCCGACGGCAGCTGGTTTTCCTGCCAGAGAACTGGATCCGCTGGGCTCCCGCAGCAGCAGGGTTTGGGGGGAGAAGGGAAACGTGGAGCCGCAGGGGCAGAAGGACGGGGGAAAAAAGCCAAAAGCAAAGGTCTGACCCCAGCGTGGCTCCTGTGCTGTGAGTTTGTCCCTTTTCTTCCCCGTGCTGGTGACGTTCTGCAGTGAAAATGCTGCAGAAACACAGGATCTGGGGACACACGCTCGCATTCAACTTCTTTCTTTGCTGCAAAGATTAAAAAGTCCGTGTTTGGGGGTGGGGAGAGGGTGGCTGCTGGGTCTCTCAAAACAGAAGGGCTTCAGCCCCAGTTTTGATCTTTTTTTTTTTTGCTCCGAGCTCTCTTCCTCTCGCTTTCCTTGCCTGAGCATTCCTGGTGGGGACACATTTTTGCTCTGCACTCGGGGAATATTCCCTACGTCATCCTCAGTCTCCTCCTCCTGCTGCTTTTGCACGGGCTTAAAAATATGAATGTTGCAACCTTGTGAAAACCAGCCCCCGGATGCTTTTGGGAAGCCAAAAAAAAACCAAAACCCCTTCAGCAACCCCAGGAGCCACGTTGTCTTTTAGCAGTTCCATCTAAGGACACCATCAGGAGGGATTTACAGATGGAATATGCAGACCCTCGGCCTCCAGGTCCCCCAGGGAGACACCGCACGCCCCACAAGAGACTTTCACAACAGGATTTATTCAGTGCACGTTCTAGGGATGCACAGGACACAGCGTCACAGGGGAAGACACGAGTATTGGTCTTTAGGTCATTCTCCACCTCCTCTGTTTAAGAAACCAAAGGATGCTCCAGCCAGAGGAGGGACTATGTCTCCTAGTCCCTTCCACCGCTCTGCAAAGCTTGTCGCTTATTCAACACACCTTTTTGGGAAACCTCAGGTGAAGGACATGGAGGAATAAAACACACAGTGTCCCAGACAACCAAATCGCTCCTCCAACAAGTCCTGGAACCACCAGTAACCTCTAACATCCTCCACTTGGCTCTCTGGAGCTCAGTTTGTACCAGTGCACGCGATGACTTGTTTCTCCTGGACCAGGTTCCACCACACGCAAAATATACATCAACTGGGATCGGGATCTAAATTCAACTACACTTAAGTTATGCAAAGAAGGAAGCCATGCAGAAGGAAGCTGGATGAAGGAGCCTCTTTAACACTGAGGGTTTTTCTTCTGTGCGCGCACACGGGTGCAGGCACACGCGTAAAGTCAGGTCATGGCAATGGACTAACTGTGGAATGGGTACAGGCGGCAGAGAGGAGGATGAAGGGAGGAGGAAGGGTTGCAGAGGCATGAGGAGGAGAAAGGAGCAGATCTGGGTAGTTCTGGCCACAGCTGTACCAGAACCAGGAAGGAAGTAGAAATCCCCTCCTGTGGGAGGAAAAAAAGCCGCTCTTCTTGGACATGGAAGGAAGAAACTTCTCCAAAATGGAGACAAACACATCAAGAGGGGGAAAGCGCATTTTTGTTAGAAACTTGTCCTGACAAATGCCAACCCCCCCCCACCACATCTCATCTACAAACGCCAAAACCAACGACCACGTCTCATCCCCACTTGGTTTTCCAAGCCATTCGGCTTTCCTCGGGGACTCGGTGCGGCGGGGCCCGCCAGCCACACAGGTGGGTGGGACAGCTCATCACCTCCAGTTTGGAAATGGGACCAGAAGCCCAGGCTGGCCAGGAAGAAAGGAGAAGCGTCCAAGGTCACCAGCATTATGGCAGACACCCTCCTGCCCTTGGGTCTCCTCAGGAAGGGGACCAAGTTTCCATGGGACTGCCAGCTGCCCTGGGCTCGTCGGGGTCGGAGCAAATAAGGCAGCGTAAGAAGAGAGCACGTCAACCTGAATCATCCATGGTGTCTCCCAAGCCTACCAGGGTTGTGGAACAACCAGTGCTGAAGAAGCCTTGGTGACTGGTGCAGGGACAGCTGAGAAAGACCATTCAAAGCAGAAGGGCCACCAGGATGACACCAGGTAGGAGGAAGAGTGAAAGCCCCAAGGAGGTACTGGGGGCTCCAGCTGTGGGCTGATCCATGCTTTTCTGGTCTGAGTTTGCCTCCAGTTCCTCAGTGTCCAGGGCACCTGCTGGCAGAAGAGAAGAAAACATGGAGTTAGAAGGGAAGATCTGGGCAAAAGAGAAACTCCCGCTCATGCAGGTGACGTGCACCAAGACACCACGAGGCGTGACAGAGCTGGTGGGTTAACGGGGAGCAGGCTGGAAACAAACCCATGCTTCACACACAAGACATCCAACTGGCCCCCTTCAGTGCTAGAGGAAAGAGTGAGGAGAAGGGTTGGTGCCACATACAAGAGGAGGATCCCAAGGACCAGCTCGATACTGGTTCCTCCCAAGCGCTCTCCATGCTGCTTGGGGATCACTGAACATCTGAGTGTCCATGCCAGGACAGACTCCACAAGTTTCTTACCTGAGAGGGAGGTCTGGAAAGCAGGGCTCTTCCCTTTTTTTTCTTTGGAAGATGATGTTAAGCGCAAGAAGGTGGGCTCTTCAGGGCTGAAGACCACTGACTTTGAGGGGATTATGAGCTCAGTTTTATTGAAACCTAACTTGGACTCTGGAACTATTTGGCTGAGGGATGGAGATGGACTGGAAAAGGCTGATTTCTCTTTTCCATCCTCTTTGACACCTTTATCTGTTCCCGGGACTGATCTGGGGCTGAAGGCTGTGCCCACACTTTCTAACAAGGCTGGATCCTCTGTAGTTGAGGGACTAACAGGCTCTCCAGTGTCTACCTCTACTTCTGGAGATACTTTATAATCCAGGTCTAACGTGGGCTCAAAGGAAAGAGTTAGGCCAGTTGCCTCTGTAGGATCATGTCTTTCTGTTTCAGTGGGTTCTGGCTTTGTGGTTGTGGCAATTTTCGGCTCTGTCTTTGCTGTTGTAGTAGGTGCTGATGTTGTAGTGGTGAGTTTTGGCTTTGCTGATGCTGTAAAGGCAGGTGTTGGCTTGGCTGTAGTGGTGGTAGGTGTTGGTGTGGTGGGTGTTGGCTTGGAGGTGGCAGGTTTTGGCTTAGCCACAGTTGTGGTGGGTTTTGGTGTGGTGGGTGCTGGCTTGGCTGTTGTGGTGGTGGTGATGGGTTTTGGTGTGGTGGGTGCTGGTTTGGCCATAGTGGTGGGTGTTGGCTTGCCTGTAGCGGTGGTTGTGGTGGATTTTGGGGTGGTGGGTGCTGGCTTGGCCGTTGTGGTGTTTGTGGTGGGTGCTGGCTTGGCTGTTATGGTGGGTTTTGGGGTGGTGGGTGCTGGCTTGGCCGTAGTGGTAGTGGTGGGGGGTGCTGGCTTAGCTATTGTGGTGGGTTTTGGTGTGGCGGGTGTTGGCATGGCCGTAGTGGTAGTTGTGGTGGGTTTTGGGGTGGTGGGTGTTGGCTTGGCTGTTGTGGTGGGTTTTGGGGTGGTGGGTGTTGGCTTGGTAGTGGTAGTTGTGGGTTCTGGTGTGGTGGGTGTTGACTTAGTGGTAGTGGTTGTTGTGGTGGGTTTTGGCATGGTGGTTGTTAGCATGGTGGGCTTTGGTTTGGCAGTAGTGGTGGTGGGTGCTGGCATGGTGGGTTTTGGCTTGGCTGGGATTGTTGGGAGTGTGGTGGCTGGTTTTGGCTTTGCTGTCATTGTGATGGGTACTAGTGTTGCAGGTTTGGGCTTGGCTGTGGTGGGGAGCGTGGCTGTGGGTGGTGGCTTGGCTGTGGTGGGGAGCGTGGTGGTGGGTTTGGGCTTGGCTGTGGTGGGCACTGGTGTTGTGGGTTCTGGTTTGGCTGTGGTTGTGGTGGGCACTGGTGTTGTGGGTTCTGGTTTGGCCATCGTTGTGGTGGGCACTGGTGTTGTGGGTTCTGGTTTGGCCGTGGTGGGCACGGGTGTCGTGGGTTCTGGTTTGGCCGTGGTCGTGGTGGGCACTGGTGTTGTGGGTTCTGGTTTGGCCGTGGTGGGCACTGGTGTTGTGGGCTCTGGTTTGGCTGTGGTTGTGGTGGGCACTGGTGTCGTGGGCTCTGGTGTTGTGGGCTCTGGTTTGGCTGTGGTGGGCACTGGTGTTGTGGGCTCTGGTTTGGCTGTGGTCGTGGTGGGTACTGGTGTTGTGGGTTTTGGCATGGCTGTGGTTGGGGTGGATGGGCTTGCCTTTGTTGTCACAGGGGCTGGAGTGGTCTCTTCTACAGTGGGTTCTGGTAAGAGATGAAAAGTGCCGTGGGTTAGGGCTGGAGCAGGGACCTCAACAGATCCCACTGGAGGGTGAAGCAACAGCTGACCCCTCTTAGGTCACTCTGGGCCATCCCCTACTCTGGGATTCCCAACCTGGAGACACCTCATCTGCCTCACGCAACCTCCTGCCCCTCAAGGGGCATCCTCATGGGGAACAATTGCTGGCTAAAGGGGCCATAAGGTCCTTGTTTGATCCTCCTCATCTTGAGGCAGCTTAGGGGCTGCCATCACGCCTGGTGTGTCATGGCCCAACCCTGGAACTGCTGGTCCAGGGCTTCTTCCTGAGAGCTCCAGGAAGGTTGAGAGCTTGGACCCCAACCCAGGGGGCTGAGTCAAGGGACACGTGCCCCTTCGCAGCACTTACCACACAGGGAGTTGACACAGACTCTGCCCTCAGGACACTGCGAGCAGGAGGGTCCTTCCTTGTAGGGCTTTCGGCCTTTCATATTACCCCTGGAAGCAGAAGACACCAAGAAACAGAAGGTGTGAGGAGAGGGGGAAACACCCATCCCACTGAGGGGGTCTGATTCAATGGGAACATCCCAGCCAAGGAAAAACTCAGGATTAATGGAAAAACCAGGCCTTGGTCTCCTGCTACAGACACTCAGTGCTGCTTGCTCAACGGCCTGACCCCAAGGCTGCCAAAACTGGTGGAGACAGCTCGGCTCCATGGACCAGATCCTTCACCACCCCCTAGAACCGAGCTATTGATGGGCATTGGGGTGGGAACAAAAAGGAGACAAAATCACCAGACCCCCAAGAAACTCTGCAGTGACTGGCCGCTCTTGTGGGCCTCACCAGCTCCAAGCAAGTGGTCCCCAAGTGGGGTGCAAGTGGGTACCCACCTCTCCTCCCACGTCCAACCCTTCCTGCTGGGCCAAACGTCCTTCTCCACCCCAGGTGACCACTGCTGCTGGTGGGGAAGAACAAGGCACGGAGCAGGGAGCTGTGGGTTGTACCCTCAGCATCAGCCTTGGGTGGCTCTCGGGGGGGTGCTCCCTCCCCGGGTCTGTGCCAGGAGCTGGACCAGACCTCGGCGATCACAATCACGGGCAAGGATCACCAGACAACCCTTCCTTCCTTTGTGACCAACCCAAGATAACAAAGGCCTTTCTTGGAATTGCTTTTCCTTTCTTTCTGGAGAAGGCCAAACCCTGCTCTGCTGCAGGGACTGAAGGAAGGACGTTTCCAGCACAGGAACCCCACCAAGATACACCAAGCCCTGTGAGCCGTGGGACTTACGGGGGATAATAGTTGCAAACGAGGAGGTACATGTCCTCTGTTTCAATTCCTTCGATCTTCTCGCAAAACTTTGACCCGCAGCCGATCTGATGCGTGCTTGCCCAGACCACCTACGGCAAAGACCAGGGCTGAAGGTGAGGGGACTGGGTGAAGGCAGATGCCCTGTTGGAAATCTGGCCCTGGCCTTGAAGGCTGCTCTGCCACCACACCAATGCCCCTCTGTTTCAATTCCTTCGATCTTCTCGCAAAACTTTGACCCGCAGCCGATCTGATGCGTGCTTGCCCAGACCACCTACGGCAAAGACCAGGGCTGAAGGTGAGGGGATTGGGTGAAGGCAGATGCCCTGTTGGAAATCTGGCCCTGGCCTTGAAGGCTGCTCTGTCACCACACTAATGTCCCCCTCATCCCTATTCTGTGCCCCACATCCCACATCCCCACCTTGCTTTAGCACCCAGTGGCCCTGGCCTTGAAGGCTGCTCTGCCACCACACCAATGCCCCCCTCATCCCTATTCTGTGCCCCACATCCCCACCTTGCTTTAGCATCCAAGGTCCTGTCCCCTTGCCCCTGTCTGGGCCACCTTCCCAACCTCAGGCTGTAACCCACTTATCCAAGCTTTTCTACCACAGAGTCCACCCAGGTAGAGCATCACCATCTTGGCTTTGGTTCTGGAACCTTCCATCCATCCATCCATCCATCCTCATATTTACCACTACCTTCTCCAGTCTTCCTTGCTCCCAACCCAAGCTGTGAAGAAACACCGAGACCTCCTATCTCTGCCTAAGACCTGCTGGAACCCAGCTCTGCTGAGGAGCCAACAAAGGGCTGCAGAGCTTCTTTAAAAGAGGTCTTCTCCAAAAAGGCTGGTCATGGTTGACACCATATCACTGTGATTCCTACCTGGTTCCCCAGTCTTTGCAAAGATTCTGGGAGGAGCTGGGGCTTTGGTACAGCTCCTTTCCCAAGAACCCCATCCCTCCACCCCACCAGCTCTGTACCTGGGTGTAGTGGCCACACATCTGCCCAGGGACACACGTGGTAGTCGTCAGGTTGTAGTATTTCTCCTCCGCGTTCCAGTCTTCCACGGCGAACTCCAGGTCCAAGGTTGGGGCCATAGCAAAGAGATTTTCCCCTCGTCGGCCCCTCTCCTTGTTGTGGTCCCAGATGCATTTCTCCGCGTAGGCTTGAGCAAAGGCCTCCAGCTCCGTGTCCCAGGTCTGGAAGGAGCTTGGTGTCAGCATCCAGAGAGGGACACCGGGCTCTCCAACATATGCAAGGACACGTACCAAGGACCCCTGGGCTCTCTGACCACAACTTCACAGAGTCACAGAATGCTTTGGGTTGGAAGGGACCTTAAAGATCATCAAGTTCCAACCCCCTGCCCTGGGCAGGGACACCTCCCACCAGACCAGGTTGCTCCAAGCCCCCTCCAACCTGCCCTTGAACCCCTCCAGGGATGGGGCAGCCACAGCTTATGGGTAGAATTCAAACGTGGGACTCTCTGAGTGTCCTCTGAGAAGTCCTCAGGAGAAGGGAGCTCCTGAGTCAGTCCCAGTACAACCCAAACCTGAGCTTACAGGTCAAACCAGGGAAGGTCAGTGCATCAGCACAACTCTAAACAACCCTCGCCTGGAGCACCTCTAGCATCATGGTGGACCATCCTCAACTCAGCGCGGAGAAACCATGAGGTTAGAATGGAGGAAGGGAGGAAACTCACCCTGGGTCACACAGAAGGGGACATCCCTCTGTGACCAGGGTGGGGATGGGAGGAGAGCAGGACACATCTCCCCTGGCACAGAGCCTGGGAGCACACACTCTTGGGAAACATCATCCATTTGCCTGGATCCGAGATGTGGCTGGTGGCTGCCAGGAGCCCCCTCCAGAGCGGCCCCACTGCCAGCTGAGCCCACCAGCCTTCATCCCCCCAGAGCCACATTGATATGCAGGAGGAGGAGGAGGAGGAGAGGTTTTCTCAGAGGGAGACACACAGGGTCCAACCCTACGCTGCAGCTGTTTGGACCATCCTTGCTCCATTTGATGGAGACGGCGGCTCCTGCGGCGAGCTGGAAGGCAGCCCAGCAAACGGCGGGTCCTGAGGGGGGGGACCTTCCCAAATGGAGCCAAGGATGGATCCAAAGAGGGGACAGAGCACGGCCACGGAGCAGGACATGTCACAGGGCATCGAGGGGGTTGTGGACAGACCCCTGAGCAGCAGCGCAAGGGACTCAGGGGGGGAAGTAAACACTGAAATATCTGGATGGTGACACAAAATGATGGTCAACCTCCCACCGTGGCCTCAAGCCGGGCTGAGAGCGATGGCTGGAACCCCAATTTGGGGAGCACACACCCCTCTGGCACGGAGCTGGGCTCCGTAAACAGGGAGCACCTGCAGGATTTGCCTCATTAAAAAAAAGAAAAGTGGCTTTAGGCTGCGTATCCCCCCTCCCCACACCCCCTAACTATTTCCACAGCAACCAGAGCCGTGTCCCAAACAGAAGCGTGGGGTGACCTCAGCCGGGCACGGTGCCACCGCGGCAGGTGAACCGGGAGGCGAAGGCGGCCCAAGGAGACATCCCAGGAGGGAGGTGAGGTTTTTCTCATGGAAAACCTCTACCAAGAAACCGTCAGGGCTGCTGAAAAGCTGAACAGTTGTTGTGCTTCAAAAAGAATAATAATAATTAAAAACAAAGCCTTTGGCTCCAAGCTGCGAGCGGGTCCGGGGCGTTTAAGCAGAAATAAAGCAAGGCTGCAGCAGGGAGCATCTCAGAGCTTCTGATCTGCCAGCAGAGCTTCAGTCAGAATTGCCACTGGCTTAAGGACCTTGAGAGATTCTTTCCCTGGGGCTTTCTCTAAGACTTTGGCTCCAAACTCCTCGTTCTCCAACTTTTCTCCACTCTGGTGGGTGTCTGTGGGATCATAGTGCTTGGGGTTCTGGCTCTGTCCCCTTTGGGTCTGAAGGCACCGCTCAGCCCTCCTCTGCCTGAATATTGCTTTTTGATTCATTTCCCTGGGAAGCTCCCATTTACCAGCCCATGAAGGTTTAATTCAGCCTGGGCAACTTTTGGGCCAGGCAGAGAGGTCTCCTCCAAGCACACTGTGACCACAAGAGCAAAGGATTCCAACTATCCACCATAAACAGTTGTTGTCCTCCTCCTCGGGCATTGCAAACAGTGAAAAAGATCACGTGGTGCAAGATAAAACACGATAGCCAAATTTTAATCAAATCAAGGGTCCGAATAAGACAAAAAGCAGCACCAGCTCAAGAACTTGCGTTACAGCTACACGTGGTGGTGTAGAAACCTGACTCAGTTTCCCCAAGGAGAATGGGGGGATCCCTCACCTCCAAGAGCCACGCACGAGTCATGGAGGGGATCAGGAGCACGATGGAGAGCCCCAATAACTGAATGACCTGGTTGTGATGTTTAAAGTTGACATGCCCTCTTGTAGCTAAAAGCCCTGCAGAAGCAAACACCCCCTCCAGCCCATGGTGGTGTCTCACCTGCCTTTGCTCCCCATCAGGAGGGGTGCTCCCCTGAGTGGGACCTGCAGGGCTCCCACACGGAGCATCAGGGAACTCAGATCACACTTAGGAACTTCCACAACCAACCAAAGGCAACTCTACAGGTGAAAGGAAACACCTCTAGAGAGAGGCAACTGAGGGAACCCCTCCATTGACACCACCAGGCTGTAACCCCCCAGAAGGATTGCTCCATCTCCCCTAAAAAAAACCTCTGATCCCTCCCAGCATTAAGATAGAGGCTCGTGCTACACAAACACCCTCTGACATCCCCCTGCAATAAAAGCCACTCACCATCTTCAGCATGTCCATAGCAGGAGGAGAGACCTGGGAGCGGTATTTATTGTGCCCATCCAAGATTATCTTCTTTTCTTCATCGCTCAGGGACCAGCTCTGCTCCAGAGCCGTGAGGAACAGGAGAAGGGGAGGAAGCCCCGAGCTCAGCATCGTGCAGCCAGCTTCTGCTCTCAGCAGCCCACGGCTCTGGCAGTCACATTTAAAGCACCTCCCAAAAGCAAGGAACACCCAACAGCTTGAAGATTGGGGAGGAAACGTATTTCTTTATTAGAGCAGAGTCCCGGAGCCCCGTGGAACACACCCATCTCACATATCAGCCCTGATGGAGAAGCGGTCGGTGCCAACCCAGGGTCTGCTCCCCGAGACAGACCCCGGGCCCGATTCCTAATCCCTGGATCGGCATTTTCATCCCAAGCCTCTGCTGCTCCAGCCCTCAGACATCACCTCAGCCCTCAGTTACGGCTCCTCTCTTCTACCTCCAGCCCCTTTTCTCTTAAAACTACAATAATAATAATAAATAATAATCCCTAAGCAGCCAGCAAAGCCCTGGATTACCCCGGGGTCCTCCTCCCCTGATGCAGCTGCGTCTCGAAACGAAGGCAACAAGATGCAACGGCTGAGAGCGGTTCACAGCGTAGGAACTCCCCAGCTGGGGGGCAGAGCCCACCTCATCCAGCCCCACACTGGGGAGAAAGCAGCAGAGAATTGGGGAACGTCCCCCCTCAGGGCTCCCCCAGCCCCCTGGGAAGTAGGGGGTAAGCAGAGGGTTGATGGCCCTTCCCTGTGCCATCAGAAGGGTGAGCAGGAGAGGAAGGGCAGGATACAGAGGTGAAACTGCCCCAAAAAAAGGGGAGTTGAGGGCTTAGAGCCCCTTCAGGGCTGGTGGGGGCTGTTAGCCCTGTGGGGACGGGCTGTGCTCCGTCCCTGGGCAGGCACCCCGAGGGCTCAGCATCAGGTGTCCCCATTCTCCCCACCATGGAGACCACCCAGCAGAGACCCTCCAGAGACCCTCCAGCCTCCTCCTCTGGGCTGGTGCCCCAGCCCAGCGCTGCTCCAGGGGGGACCACGGGGGAGGAAGGACCCGTGGGTGGGCAGCTCAGCAGAGCCAAGATCGTCCCCAAGTTCTCTGCCTCCCCCTCTCCCCTCCCAGCTCCCCAGGCAATTTTTCCTATTGCTGATCTCCCCTCTTGCCACAACAACTCTCATACTGCCCTCAAATTACCTTCTCCTTCATTAGGTCCAGGGTCTACCTCAACTGTACAATTTGTGCCGGCAGGAGCTGAGGCTGATATCTCAACAACCTGCCCCAACTCATCGCTCAAACCAGAGGTTCCCATTCCTTGCTAAGGTGAACCAGAATTTGGGTCAAGGCAAACCCATCTCCATCATGAGACACCTCCAAAGCTCTGCTGCTGTGTCTCCAGAGATCTGGAGAAAACTAGAAAGGCCCAACACTGGCTCCAGCTCCTGTTCACCAACTTGCCATGGCCTGGGTTATGAGCAACACAGCTGAGAAGGCCTCAACACACATCCTGTTCTCTGCAAACGTGGTGTGGGGACAAAGGGCCAGCCTCCAAGTAGCCCCTGGTACTACAGGATCCTGACTAAGCCTCACAGGAGAGTGGAAAAAGACCTTAAAGTTGCCATGGCCTGGGTTATGAGCAACACAGCTGAGAAGGCCTCAACACACATCCTGTTCTCTGCAAACGTGGTGTGGGGACAAAGGGCCAGCCTCCAAGTAGCCCCTGGTACTACAGGATCCTGACTAAGCCTCACAGGAGATCATAGAACCATAGAATGGGTTTGGGTGGGAAAGGACCTTAAAGCCCACCCAGTGCCACCCCCTGCCCTGGGCAGGGACACCTCCCACCACACCAGGTTGCTCCAAGCCCCCTCCAACCTGGCCTTGAACCCCTCCAGGGATGGGGCAGCCACAGCTTCTCTGGGCAACCTGGGCCAGGCTCTCACCACCCTCACACCAAACAAGTTCTTCC